GGATATGATGATGTGATCACTGGATCATGCAAGTATTGAAATGTTTGAGATCGAAGCATGATCAATCAATAATCATATCGTTCGAATGTCATATTTAAATGAATATCGGTTAAGGCTGATCTGCTGCTAGTAGATCAATTGAGTTTTTAAAACTGATTTGATTCAGGTGAACACACCAACTTCACATAAGAGCCTTATGGCAGTTCTTTTTATAAAAGTGATTTACAAATGTTTTGAATCAATTATATAAATAATGAAATTATGTAAATTATGAATAAATTATATAATTTGTATAATAAAATTATGAATTATAGAATACAAAATTATAATTATGAATTATATAATTATATTAATTAATTAAAAAACAAGAGTTTCAGCGTGTAATTCAATTGAACGCAATGGAGGATCGACTGGTGCCGGATAGACGTGCATGGGATCGTGCCATCCAATTCATGACGACGAGTGTACAGGACAGACTCAATGAGGTAGATATTGCTGTGGTTGTTTTTTGATCGATAGAGCACGAATTTCGTGGTGAACATGAATTTTTTTCAAATGAGCGATAGAATTTTTTTTTTGAAGATGTAGGTGAGTGCATGAAAACGAGATTTCAACCAGGTAAACAGTCCGTACCGGGTTGGGTTGCCAGGTAAGTGTGGAGTGTGAAATGGTAAAGCGATTGTGTATGGGTGGTGGTGATGATTTTCGATTGGCTTCTATTCCCGATACTTGTGGTCTTAGGCTTAGGCTTAGGCTTAGGCTTAGACTTATCCTTAGGATCAGCAGCTTTATTTTTGCAGTTGAGATGATTCGGTGCATTTAAAGTGATTCGTTGATTAGTAGTGTTGGTTTATGAGGGCAGTGTAGCGTTTGCATTCAAGTGAATTTATTCATTTTTATATCCATTGTGAGCATTTTTTTACTTACTATTAAGCATCGAGTGGTTGTTTTGTGAATCGAAGTGAGTGATCGGCGGAATATTTATTTTATTAGAGTTATGATTATTTATTGGGCTGGTATTTGGCTACGATTAATTATGCAAAGTATTCACGGCAACTAATTAATTACTCAGTTGTGTTCGGTTGGCCTGCTCGCCTAGCCAGCGGGGTGACAGCGTAAATTGAGGCTAAAACAATGCGCCGCACGGAAACATTGCGAGCATTGTGGCCAGCAACATTACAAACGTTTGATAGCCTAAAGCTGCTTGCCAATCCAGGTATCAGGTACTGCGCACTTTTTAGTGAGTTCACGTTGAGATGAATTACAGATTCATCAGCAAATCGAGGAGAGTCGTGGCC